CGGATGGAGAAGCAGAGAGCGGCCGCGGAGGCGGGCGAAGGAGAGAGGCCTGGCAGTCGAGAGTCGACGGGGCGGGGCAGCGCGGGCGTGAGCGCCCCCTCACGAAGCAGAGACACAGGCCACACGTGGACATCGGCGCTCCGCCTGCCCCGGTGTGCAGTGGCCCCCGTCCCTGGCGCCCCGACGCGCGGCGCCGCGCGCGACGCCGGGTTGGCCTGGGGCGGCTGCCGACCCTGCGGCGGCAAGGCCTCTGGAGAGCCGAGGCTCTGGATGCCATGCTCTCCAGGCTCGTGGACGTTCTGCTGCCCCCACTCGGGACCTCCGGAGGCCTCTCCGGAGAGACCCGCCGGGGGAGCTCCAGAGGCTCTCGCGAGCGGAGGCCGCGGAGGGGTACTCGTAAGGCGTGCAGCTTGCAGACCACATGTGTTTCTAGGGGCCCTCCGTTCTTGCTCCCGCCCCCGGCGGGTGCCCTGGCGGGTGCCGCAGCGGAACCGCCAGGGAGAGGGCTTCCCAAATCCCCTCACCGGCTTGGGAGGGATGTCACACGCAAGGCTGAGCAGCGCCACGGGAGGAGGAGGAGGAGGAGGAGGAGGAGGAGGAGGAGGAGGAGGAGGAGGAGGAGGAGGAGGAGGAGGAGGAGGGAGGGAGGGAGGGAGGGAGGGAGGGAGGGAGGGAGGAGGAGGAGGAGGAGGAGGAGGAAGACGACGACGACGAGGCACCCGGTGGGGAGGCTGGAAGATCAGCAAAGAAAAGAGGAGACGTCATGCAATGCCACTCAGACTGCCAAGCCACCTCCGGGCCGTAGACAGACAGTCTCCCATCGGAGCCGTCCAAAGACCACGCTAAGGACCCAGAACCCAGAACTCTGACGTCCTGATTTACTCACGTTGTGGACCTGTTCCCCAAGACCGGCTGTCCGTCCCGAGCCGTCTTTTGACGGTCCTGGGGCCCGGTGAGGGCCACTGAAGGCGTAAAAGTTCGTCCACCGCGATTTCTTCACAATGCGAGGATGTTAGTGTCCAGAGACCCAGCTGAGGACGTCCCTGGCCAGCTCAGCGTTTGGCCGGCCCACGATCCATTTCTTCGAACATCACGTACCCTTGGAGGTCCTGGTCCTCCATTGCGAGCCTCTTGTTGGTAATGTACTGCCCATCGCCGAAGGTGTTCCTCTTCGTGAACCTTCCACCGCCAGATCATACGCCATCGGCAAATACACATTGATTTTCGAATTAATGTCGAGAGCAACATCAGAGTGAGGGGCCGAACGGTCAATCGCTGTCCCTGGGCGTGGCTGAAGTGGGGTTCCGCGGTGCGGAGTGTTGTTGATGCCGTGTTGAATTCATATTTCGAAAGACTTACTTGTGTGGATCCCCCTCCCGGTGACCATTATATCTATCCAGGAAAGTATGTGTCTACCAGACTGAGATGTTGGCCCTCAGTGTACTATAACAACCACGATTTTCGGACTGCTCGAGCGTCATTCAACGTGTATTTCCCAAACCCTCGATACCCGCCCCCTTCGTCTTCGATCGTACCCCCTTAGGGGGGTATACACCCTGCGAAATGCTTTAAAAATCATGGGTTAAGAAATTCATAGTCTCAGAAATTGGATAAAACCCAGAAGTTCTATCAAAATCTTGGGATTTACATTGAAAAGTTAAGAATAATCAAGACTCTGGACGGAAACTTAGGTTTTCTTAAGCATCGCCTAGGGTGTATATTCTTCTTCCCGGCAGGCCGGGCCTCGGCAAGCAGCGGGACGGCCGCGGACCCTCGGCCTGGCCAGCGGCCACGCTGACCCTCGGCAACCCGACCCCAAGAGGGACGGACAGGGGACCGACCACGACGACGACGACGACGACGACGACGACGACGACGACGACGACGACGACGACGACGGCGACGGCGACGACGACGACGGCGACGGCGACGGCGACGGCGACGGCGACGGCGACGGCGACGGCGACGACGACGACGACGAGCCAAAGCAAGAGCGAGAGCGAGAGCGAGAGCGACAGCGGGGCCACGTAAGGCAGGAAGGGGGCCACGAAGGGCGACAGCGGGGCTGCGAAGGGCAAGCGTATGGGGCCACGAAGGCGCGAACGAGCGGGGGGCACGAAGGTCAGATAATGCGGGGCCACAGAAGGCAACGACGGGGCCACTGAGGGTAGCAACGGGGCCACGTAGGGCATCGAGGGGGCCACAAAGGGCGACAGCGGGGCCGCGAAGGGCATGCGTATGGGGCCACGACGGGCGCGAACGAGCGGGGACCACGAAGGGCATACGGATATTGGACCGCAGAAGGCAAGGACGGGGCCACTGAGGGTAGCAACGGGGCCACGTAAGGCAGCGAGGGGGCCACGAAGGGCGACAGCGGGGCCACGAAGCGCATGCGTATGGGGCCACGACGGGCGCGAACGAGCAGGGACCACGAAGGGCATACATATACAGGACCACGAAGGGCAGCGAGGGAACCACGAAGGGCTGCAATGGGGCCACGAAGGGCAGCGAGGGGGCCACAAAGGGCTGCAACAGGGCCACGAAGGGCAGCGAGGGGGCCACGAAGGGCTGCAACGGGGCCACGAAGGGCAGCGAGGGGGCCACGAAGGGCTGCAACTGGGCCACGAAGTGCAGCGATGGGGCCACGAAGGGCTGCAACGGGGCCACGAAGTGCAGCGAGGGGGCCACGAAGGGCTGCAACGGGGCCACGAAGGGCAGCGAGATCCCGACTCCAAAATAAGCTGTGAGGAAGTCCTGCGCGTGAGCGCGACTCCTAGATGGCTGAGCGTCGGGAACGCGACGCTTGAGCAAATGGCGGGGAATTCCAACGCAAGAGCGCGATTCTTGAGTACATTGCGAGCAAGTCTCCAGCGAGAGCGTGACTCCAGAGCGCCGAGAGAGCGATTCCTGAATACATTGTCAGGAAGTGCCAAGCGAGAGCGCAATTCCTTAGTAAAATGCAAGGAAGTCTCAGGCGGGAGCGGGGGTCCTGGCTAAATTAAGCGGAAGTCTCGAGCGGAAACCATTATTATGGCAACCCGGGGGCCAGGGGCGCAGTTTGAGCCGAGTGACTTTCCCATGTAAAAAACAGGAAGCGAGCCCCGGGTGAAACACTTCAATTGAATTATCCTGGCGAAGGACCCAACCATATGCAATTATGAATAGCGCAATGGTAAACACCGTCCTCGGTGGATCTCCCTATGGGGCCACGAACCCTGTGAGTGGTGCACCGAAATGGGGGGGGAACTGCATGCGAACTTTGCCAATGGGGTATTCGGTGGAGCTCCCCATGGGGCCACGAACCGTGTGAGGGGTGCGCCGAAAGGGGGGTGGAACTGCATGCGAACTTTGCCGCTCGGGCCCTCGGTGGAGCTCCATATGGGGCAACGAACTATGTGAGCGGTGCGCCGAAATGGGGGTGGAACTGCATGCGAACTTTGCCACTGGGGCCTTCCGTGGAGCTCCCCATGGGGCCACGAACCGTGTGAGAGGTGCGCCGAAACGAGGGCGGAACTGCATGCGAACTTTGCCACTGGGGCCTTTGGTGGAGCTCCCTATAGGGCCACGAACCGTGTGAGGGGTGCGCCGAAATTGGGGTGGAACTGCATGCGAACTTTGCAACTGGGGCCTTCGGTGGAGCTCCCTATGGGGCCACGAACCGTGTGGGGGGCGCCGAAATGGGGGTGGAACTGCATGCGAACTTTGCCACTGGGGCCTTCGGTGGAACTCCCTATGGGGCCACGAACCGTGTGAGGGGTGTGCCGAAACAGAGACATGCAAGGGGCAGAGGCAAGGAGGGTGAGGAGGAGCAGCAGCAGGAGGGGGCAGCGGGAGGAGGAACGCGGGGCGCTGCGCTGTCTCTTCGAAACGAGAACCCAACACCACAGGATGGTTGGGAAAAAAACACCATGGTCACCGGAGGAAGGGGATCAACAATAATTACTCTTCAACTGAGAGTTAAACAACACGAACAACAACGGCTCCCGCCTGATACATCCTCACAACGTATTCCAAAATCGCGCTCTCGTGCGAAACGTCCTCATAGTGTATGCAGCTATCGCGCCCTCGCGTGGTGTTTCTACCCATGTATGCGGCGCCGTGCCCTCAAGCTTCACAAAACATGCTCTTGTTTGGGAGTTCCTAAAAATTGCATTGTGAATCGCGCTATCGCTCGAAACTTCTGTCATGCTGGGTTGACGCTTTAACGACCCGCCCGCTCGACCTGGCCAGCTGGGCCCGCCCGCCCGACCTGCCCATTAGGGCCCGCCCGCCCGACACGCCAGTCTAATTCTTACCGCTTGTGCTCCTGCTACGAGCCCTCCTCTTGCACATTCCTCTGATGTTCCATCCTTCTCCCTCAACATTGTCTCTTCACTCCGCCCTTTCCTTCCCCTTGTTATAAGGGCTGCGATAACTACACGCGAATGATAGGGAAGATATACCCCCAGGAGGGGGCACGATGGAAGACGAAGAGGGCGGGCACCGAGGGACTGGAATATACATGTTGAATGGCACGCGAGCGAACAAGAGCGAAAACTATTAAAATGACTGTTGCTGTTAAACTCTCATTCTTAAAAATAATAATATGATTGATCCCCCTCCGGTGCACATTATGTGTTTCTATTGAAGTACCCCCCTCGGGGCTTGCACGGAAAATCTGCATGCTCCAACTAAGAGATTGGCCCCAAACTACCACTACTACTACTACAACTACAACTACAACTACTACTACTACTACTACTACTACTACTACTACTGCTACTACGTACTAACGACGACTGCACGACGACGACTAACTAACTACTGCTACTAACTACTACTACTACTACTACTACATACTACTACAAATACTGAACTACTACTACTACTACTAACTACTACTACTATACTACTACTACGACTACGACTACCTACTACTGCCTACTATCACTACTACTACTACTACCACTACTACTATACTACTACTACTACTACTACTACCTACTACTACTAATACTACT